CCCTCGGTATTTGGTCGAATTACTTCAATACCAGAATCATTCTAGGAAACTTCGTACAAATTCCCTACAACTTCTTTGCAACAAAAATCCAGTAATAAAACATATGGCGACAGGGCATTTTCTACATGTGCCCCTATACTGTGAAACAATATTCCCTTAGACACTCATAAATCGAACAATGTTTCTACTTTTACAAAAAATTTAAAGATCTACCATTTTAGGAAATTTATTAATAATGGTTTAATTTATTATTAGAGTTTAATGTTTTATATCTTCTTATTTTATGTATTTATTACTATAACATTACTTTTTTTAATATTGTTGTACAGTGCCAGGAAGAACTAGTGGATGTAAGCGCTATAAAAAAGTTTCATTAATTAATTACTGTTACACTCGGACATTTTTACATCAGATATTCATGTGGTGTTATCCAGTCACCTCGCTGCCAAACCATCTCGCCAGCAAGAAATATATATCTATATATAAGCAGTAATATACCTATCAAAAGGACAAGTCTTTCGCTTTGAATACACATTGAAATTTAAGGAGGTAAGGTTCAAGTAACAGTATTACCCAGCTTTCATAAGAAAGGCTGTTGGATTTTAAGCAAATCGCCCCTCTCGAACCTTGCAAATAAACCTATTTTAAAGGTATTAATTAGTTCACAGGTGAACCCACATTACAATATAGATTCTTTTGGATAATAACCAGATTTAGCACTTTATCCATCAACTTAAGCAAATCAAACAAAACAATATTTGTGACATCAAAATATTATTTTCCAAAATTCGGCATCTGCCAGTAATTATATCTCTACCACTTCATTTATTAAATTCCCTTAGCAAGAGATTCAATGGAAAATGTTTGTCTGAATCAATATAGCTTCTAAGAAAAAAACTACCTCTAACAGCCTGATGTAAGTGTCTCTTATGCTTTTATGATAACGTTTGCGATTCTTACTAAATTGAAAACTTCCCAAAGTGCAAAGGGATTAAGACTCCCACAATGCAATTGGCACTTACAGACTGTTTAGTTCAGCAGCAGCATACGGCGTCTAACAGGCACACACTGTTCTCCGAACAATGGGCTATTGTCTTTCCAGGCCGCTGATTGGTGGAGAGGATCGATTGCGTTGGAAATCGGAAATATCTTAGAACGAGGCTCGGGTGATCGTCGGCAACCTTAGGAAGGCCTCGGCAACGTTCGGAAGCGATGACATCATTTAGCATAAAGGAAGGACACATGAGTAGTTATTATACTAAGGTAAAAAAGTGAACTCATGTGTAATCGGTTTGGGCAAGTCAGACATGTGGGGAGAAAAAGTGTCCCCTGCGCAGGGCGCATGCGCAAACCAGAACGCATGCACAGTAGTGAATCAGGGGAAAAAACTTTCTAAAACGTTGCAAAAGGATTTAAAGTGAAAAGGTAATGAAATATTGAAAAAGCAGTCAAGCTCATGACGCGTGGATTATCTCTTGCTGGAAGTTAAAAGTGAAAAAGTAAGAAATTAAGTAGAAGTAACATGTTTTTATCCTAAACCAAACAAAATGCGTAAAAAGGTAAGAAACTTGCTTTACAGTAAGATTTCGAAATGTAGTAGAACAAAGCGTAAAATGTGCTCTATGCAAATGGTAGGGTGGGGTGAAATCGCAACGACTAATCGGAAAAGAGAAAGATTCAAGGGAAACGAACAGAACCAATGAAAGAAGTTATGAATTTAAAATGTATAGAGAGTGACGCTAAAATCGAGGCATCATTTCGCTTTACATTCATGGTGAATCCAGTTGCTTCAGTGATCTACATTGGTTGTGCGAAATACGATGGCCTTGTCACCTCTCAAGCCTCTCCATCCTGAAATTAGAAATCCTGCCTCGTTGCAAGAATTAGCTGTCCAAGCAGTCAAAAATACTGGTGAAACAGCAAGAAAATCCCTCCCCCCCTGGCATACAGTGAGAATGTAGTTGGAAGAGGCCGAATACCAAGCCCTTCGCAAAAAGTATAAAAAAGAACATGCAAAAAAGTTCAGGTATGTAATGAAGGAATTAAAGTATGTGGATGATTACAATTGGACATGGAGTTTGTTTCCCAGCCACGTGGTGTTGCTTTTACAAGCAACCTATTTTAGAACCCATTTGCTTTGTTTTGTAGGAAGACTCTAAAAATATAACAGTGCTAAGAGATCTGGACTGGCCGCTTTTTTAGATTATGTATTTTGCTAAAGTAGTCGGATTTGTGTTGAAAAAGGGTGATGAACTAAAAAGAATGAATGTTTGTTTTGTTTGCAGAGAGACGCTTATAAACGTAAGAATGTTAAGGGATTTAGACTGGCCGCTTTCGATGAAAATTTATTTTGCAAATTTTCCTCTCTAGGATCACATTGAAAATTACTCAAGCATATAAGGGCGCGAATAGCAACGGACAATGGCCGGTGGATGTGTTTTGCGGTTTTGTTAATAAAGTCATGGAAAGTTGTTCGTCGTTAGTTAACTTTCATATTCCCCTTTATGTAAATACCATAGTAGATTTGTAATAAGGTGTTTTGTTTATAGATCAGTACTGGGACTGTTGAAACTAATCCCTGATGTACATTGGACACCTTCATTTACCGTGTGGTTCTTGAATTTTATTCGGAGCAATATGTGAAAGGATTCAATTGTATAAAGATTTAGATTAGCCTGCAAGTCTAATAGTGTTATGGTTGTCGTTGTAAAATAGTGTTTTTTGTTTTATTCTAGAATTATGATCGTGAGTTTAAACAAGTGGAAAAAAATCAAATATTGCCCCTTTAGCAAGTGGTTGTCGTTTATAGTGTGTGGGCATTGTGAGCGGATTGTTAAATTACAATTAACCTTGGATGGTCTCAGGACAGCGTGGAAGGGGGAAAGCATTGACTGGAATCGAGAGCGGGATCCGAGAATTAACGCGTTGAATAAGGGTGTCCTTTTTGTTATATTTTTTAGAATGGCACGAATGGAAATTAGAATGCTGCCAGAGTGCCCCTTCACCTTATAGTGTTATACGAATAAAACTTGCCATTGCGATATCCGCTTAGGCGTCTTTAAACTACTATTAGACGAGTGGATCAAATTTGGCCGTTACGAGGAATTTGATGTGATAGAAGCGAACACAACGTTTGACCGAGTTTATAGAGTAAAACCCGATGCGCACCTCTTATTTAAAAATAATGAATTGTAAAACGGTTGCTTTTATGTATTTCCAGAGCGACATTTGAAGAATTGAAACAGAGAGAGTATGGTGATTACACAGAATGGAAAAATACGGCAAACGATAATTTATGCACACACTGTATAAGAATTGTAAGCATAAGATTATGTATAGATGAAATTACGGAGTACACTTACTGAAAATACATGAAGGCAACACCTCTAGAAAGACAACTTATGCATGAAAAATGTGTTGAAATGTATTTTGACTTATTTGAAGACTATATCGAACTGGGCGGAGAACTGTAGGTTGCTCCATACGTCCCGAGCTGTAAAATAGGTTACCAATAAAAAAGGAAGGGGAAGTAAATCTTTATGGTGTTTTATTGACTCGGGAAACAAGGGAAGAGGGAGCGAAACACAACATGAAAGAAAAAATAAACGTTGCGTGTAAGGCAAAACGTGCAGTCTATCAGGCAATGACGTCAAACAAGATGGCGGTTAACAATACCATGATGGCTGCCTAATCTCTTAAGCCAAAGACAGAGAAAAATAAACGTGACTTGAAGGAACAGATATAGCGCAAAAACGTGGGAAAAAAGTAAACGTGCAACTTAGAACGCTCAACAAAGTCTTTAGGGAAAAACAAATGCGTCAGACAACCTGCCTAGCTCAGCCAAATGAAGTTAGATTGACGTCAGTCGCCTACGCTTGGATGCGTTTGTATGCAGGTGGTCGAATCACTGTTGGTGATATTTTTTTTGCCATTATGCACAGCCGCTTGTGCGCAGTCTCTGTTTAAGTTAACGGTGCTCTCAAGTGCCCTTAAAACAGTTAATTGCATTTAATGCACTATGAGGTTCTAATTACTGCATTGCTTAGCTAGATGACTTTGCAAGGAGTCGTTTGATAGCAGTTTTGTGCCGATCACGTCATGATTTAATGAGTTGTGACGTCATTTAGGGTAGAAATTCCCACGCTTAAATCAGCTAACAGGTTGCACTAGATTCTCAGAAACGTCGTGATTCTTATAGCCCTGTAAGTGGACTAAATGCAGACGAAATTTGGTTGAAAATGTTTTTATTCTCTTAGTTATTAATGGTTAAAGTTTTTTCCAATATGGCGGACAGAAAAAGAGGGTTTTCTTCCCCTACTCGGTCAATTTACATGAAATCGAGGCGAAACTTTGACTGTCCATAACTCCAAGGGGATTTGACCGTTTGAAGTGATATTTGGTGGGTAACGTCTCCTCCAACATGGCGGACGGAAAAAGTATGATTTATTCCCCTACTCGGTCATTTTACATGAAATCGAGGCTAAACTTTGACTGTCCATAACTCTAAGAGGATTTGACCGTTTCAACTGATATTTTGTGGTGAGATTGTACTAGCCTTTGGCTCTGTATGACACCAGCAAAAACTTCTCAGACTATAACTCTAACCCTTACATCCTAGGGCTACTATCACGATGGCTATTTCAAGTGACTCAGATGACATATGGCATGATAAGATCCTTTCAACACGCCAGAAACTTCAAAGTCTGGCCCACCTTGCACAAGATAGGCCTGTTGACCTTGATACAGTACTTGACGATGAAACGTTTACCCCTAAAACACGCGTATACGTAGTACCAGACTCCGAGAACCTGCAATTGGAGTTTAAGTAATATTCAACCTTGATGTATGCCGCACAGTACCAAGCGAAACGTATTCTGGAGGAATTATACAAAAATCAAGCAGAAACCATCAATTTGCTACACAAGACAAAGCACGGTAAACCAGTTGATGAGAGTTACAGAAACATCAAAGCAGCTGAAATTAGAGAAATAATCAAAGACATGGGCTGGGACAAGGAGAGTAAACCAAAAGAGAAGAAAAGAAAAGAAGCTAAGACGGTCAGTAACGGTTCCCACAAAGGTCAAAAGAAGAAAATAACACATGAAACTAGCCCTGCCACAAGTGACAGTGAAAGTGAAGGCACTGAGCGGGCCAGTACATCCCAAAAAAAGCCAAAGAAGAAAAGAACACAAGAAACTAGCTATGACACAAGTTACAGTGAAAGTGAAGGCGCTGAGCGGGTCAGTACACCCAAGAAAAATCCAAAGAAGAAAATAACACATGAAACTATCTATGACATAAGTGACAGTGAAAGTGAAGGCACGGAGCGGGCCAGTACACCCAAGAAAAAGCCAAAGAAGAAAAGAACAAATGAAACTAGCTATCACACAAGTGACAGTGAAAGTGGAGGCGCTGAGCGGGCCAGTACACCCAAGAAAAAGCCAAAGAAGAAAAGAACACATGAAACTAGCTCTGACACAAGTGACAGTGGGAGTGAAGGTGCTCAGCAGACTACTTAATCCCAAAAAAGGTAAAAAAAAAAACACCAGAAATTGGGCGGCCCAGTACATCTAAGCACAGGTCTAAGAGAAAGCATTACAAAAGACGAACGTGTCCCATTTGCCACAAATCTGTCACCGTCATCAGACGACATATTATAAAGATTCATGTCCAAAAAAATGAAAAGATACCCCTGGCACGAGCAGATGGTGATAATCCAGATGGCCTACCATGGAAACAAAACGCGGGGTCCAAAAAGAAAGGAAGGGAAAGGAAAAAGCCGAAAGATATTTCGTGGTAGACCAAAGGAAATCTGTCCCCTCTGCGACAGAGTCCAACTTTATTTGACAACCCACCTTCAGCGGTACCACAAATTAGCCAGGGACTCCTCAGCATATGAAACAGCCATCAGAATAGCCAGGAAATATTAGGGAGTTTCCAAAGAACTTGCCTATGATTGCAAACTTTCTGTCGAAAGAAAGAAGAAACGTCGAGTTACTACTAGTGAATCAGATGCTGAGGATTATCTACCACCAGGGAAAAAAATAGAACGGCAAGATGACCCTCTTCGCCTCTTGGAAAAGCATCTGTCAAGTAGCGATAGTACTGACGATGATGACTTCTGTCCTCCATGGGAATGCTTAAGATGGCAGCGTCTACCCTGCACCGAACTGAGGATACAGACAAGCGTGTAGTGCACGTTCTAATGACGCATTCAGCTGCGACGCCCGAGAAACATTACATGATTGACAATCTCAAGAACATCGGTGAAAAAAAAATTAACAAAGTTGAAAAACATTGATTCCACGCAATTTAAACAAATTCACCTAGCTTTAAAGTAAAGAAATAAAAAAAGGAAGGCAAATCAACCATAAAAGTAGGCAAGTTAACCACGAGTAGACAAATCAACCATAAAAGTAGGCAAATCATCCAAAACGTAGGCAAATCACCCACGAGTAGGCAAGTCATCCAAAAACGTAGGCAAATCACCATGTCCCTCGCCCTAACCCTAACAAAAGAAAAACCAACATTTAGATTTTAAAGGCTTTTTATTTTTAAAAATTAACAGATCTTATGGTAGCGCCTTGTTTAAGTCCTTCTAGAAATTGTCCATGACACTTGGGCACTTGGACACTTGGTCTTTCTTACGATGAACATCTACTAACTGTGTAAAAAACCGCTCTAGAGCTGGGGTTAACCGTAACCCTTGTTGCTTTCGTTTACGGCAATAGGAGGCCAAACTGCACACTTTTCCTGGTAAGTCACCAAAGGGCAATGGTCCATGGATAAACTCAGCAATGGCTGCTTCGTTTTGAGGCCAAAATCCAGTGGCGGGTTTGCGAAGCTGTTGACAGGCTTGTGAAAACTTTTCATCCGCAGGGGATATATAAAGGAGTTTGCCTTTGTTTTTTCTCTTCTGTAAATAGGACGCTAAACTTGCATCATTAGGAGGGACCTGTCCCCAGGCGTTCTTCACAGAGGCTTGAAACTGGTAATTGGCCATGGTATTGATGTCCTCCCATTGTTCTCGTTTCTTGTATACCTCAGCTATCTCGGGACTCCACTGAAAGGTGCTTGGTAGCACGGGGGCTTTTTTCTTGGCTTCCCATCGTTCGTTTTGCTTACGGGTGCTTTCAGCAAACTGATTGAGCCAGGCTTGTTCAGTTTGTTGCTTTTCCACTGCTCTACATTTTGCTCTGCTTGTTGCAACCATGTCCGACTCTCTTGGTTGTAGGGTTCGAGAGGTCTTGGTTTGTAAGGTTTCTTGTCAGTTTGTTTTTTTCGAAGCCAGTCTGGCGTTGGATCACCTAGCATGGGATACAACGGTGCGTGGATCCACTGAAAAAAACTTGCAGCGAGATTCTATAGCCGAACCACTACACGTGAGAAACACTTTGTTGAGATTTTTGGCGGTTTTACTAAACTGAATCTTGGGAATCAATTGGCACCCCATTTGGCATGCACTTCAGGATGAATCTCTTGTTGAAGGACCTCTTTGACTTTTTTCTTATCGTCTTCTTTCCCATACAACGAGGGACAAGGTTTCTCTTGATCCCCAAAGACTAAAAGAAACTGAGTGCTTAAGGGTTCATTCCCGTGGAAGCTCATGATGATAACTGATCATGGTTCAACACATGCCGTATATTTAACAAAACCCCTATGACGTCAATCCCTCCCTGTGGAGCGAGCAAGTGCAGAGCATCACGTCTACACTTGCGTGAATGACGTCAATGACCGTCCCAAGGGAAAGGGCAAGACATGACAAACAACATGCACTCACGCAGCAAAAAACTAATGAATCACACGTTTTTACAATGTTTTAAGGAAATTGAAACCCTCCCTCTGTTTTCTCCTTTTTGTGAAAGGTCATTTTTTCACTGACCATGTCATTCAGTCGTTTCTTGAGGGCTGCTCGGGTTGCTGTCTTGGGCTTATAGTGTGGTTTGGGGGCCTGATGGATCCACTGAAAATACCTACATCTGGCGTCTCGAGGTTTGGGAAAGCCTAGGAAGACTGTTCTTGTTTCTGGGTGTCTGACTCAACTGCAATTTGGGCACTAATCCACATTCACAGCTAAGGATTCTCCATTGATTGAGTATTTCGGTGTGTATCTCGTTACATAACGCTTCAGCCACAATCTGCTTACTCTCAACACTTCCAAAAACGACAGGGCAGGTAGAGTATTGCCCTTGTTTAGGAAGGACAAAGTTGGTATGCAAAGGTCTGTTTTAATCTTTGAAATACTCGTAGACCTCTGTCTGAGCCACCGTTTCCTCCACAGGCCACCATTCCACGGTTCGCCCATCCTGCGTCACTGCCACTCCCTCTTCCAACACTTGCACAGGGTCAGGTTGTGTTTCCATTGACCTAGGTCCGCCATTAAACATGTCATCCATTGTCATCTCTTCATAGCTTGGAAGAGACATGATTTGATCAGGAAACTCTGCTAGTTATCCTGTTGATGACGGGCCAGGCATTAAAAGGTTTGTGGGCACTGTTGGCTGAGGTGGAATGACTCGTAGTTCGTCTCCAGCATATGGTGGATCATCAGTAACTTCTTTACGGTTCACTGTTTTCTTGGTTTTCTTGCCTTTGGGACGTTTGTTGTTTCTTTGAATTAGTACATGAGGTTCCATCATTCGTTTTTCCAATTGCTGCATCTTAGCTTGTTCAGGAGTAGTTAGGGACTCTTCATCAGAAGAACCAAATATGGTGTGAATAAGTTGAGAGGATTGTGGCTTTGACATTCTCACTTGTTGCAATTGCCGAACAGCCGGTTCTTGAAGTTTGCACATAATGATTCTTTTCATATAACACGCATTATTTTATGAAGCAATAAGGTCCTAAGGGAATTGGGCAGTGACGTCAACGCTTCTCCCTAGGGAGCGGGCAAGTGCAGATCACGTCCCTACATTGTTTACGCTTGGGTCAATGACGTCAATCTAGTCACGTTTGCGACCTTCTAAGTAGCGTCCCTCTACCTAGAGATTTCATTCACTCTCAAAGTATGGAGACTGTGGGTGTTGTTGCTTTCTGTCACGGTTTAAAAATCACCGATGAGTTTTTTCTTTATCTAGAAATTGGTTTATGTAGTCGAGAAGGATATCATCATCGTTTGTTGTCTTATTCTCCTGGACATGACTTGCCTGCTTTATGAGACCCAAATGAGTATTGATGAGCAAATGAAGTACCATCATGGGCTAACCTTTGACGACAATTCTGGCCGAGATCAAGAATTGGTTGCTGCTGATGTTTAGAAATGGTACAAGACCCACTGTCCCTCCGATTACCCGGCGGTGGGTTTGCTAGAGGCAACACCACTCAAAGACGTGCTTCAAGCCATGGACATTCCCTTTGTTCACCTTTCACTGGATTTCAACAAGCTCGTGGAATGTCCTATAGGCACCACCAAAGTGATGAAGCCCGGTGATGATAGAGCTTGGTGTAGAGAACACGATCATGGCAAGCTTCCTGTTTTGCACGATTATTGCGCTCGCGTCATGGCGTGTAAGCTCAGTTGGTGGTTACGAAAACCATTGAAAGTGCAACCCACCGTCCAAGAAGTCAATCAGCAACGAAATATATGGAAAAAACGATGCTATGAACTGCTCGATTGGATCCTATGTGAATACTGCACTAATGACGAGAAAGAGGATGTCTTTGACAAGGGGTTAGGATTAGATTGAGTGACTAACAATTGAGATGGCAAATGTAAAACAGTGCAGTATATTTTTGAGCGAGAGCTAGCTGACCCAAGATGGGAAGATCCTTATGTTGATGAATTAACCGAACGTATGCGAAAATGGGTATAAAAGTGTGTTCTGTAATAACATTTTTCATTTTGTCCTACCATGACTCAACCGAGTGACAATGTCCACCCTGTTTATCAAAAAGAAGTCAGAAGAGTCCCAAAGGAAATACATTAGGGTGGACGAGTCAGTGGAGCGTGAACTGTCAATATAAGCAAGTGATGTTGTTGACTCACCATCAGTGATGACTGACAACGAGTGGTTTGCTATTGTGGGAGAAGCCGTGATTTTTTGCGCTAGTTTAGTTTAGAAAATCAAGACGTTAAATTAGCAACTTCAATCTGCCCCGGAGGAATTGACAAGACTTAACACTGCTGTCAAAGAGTTGGAAGATGGACACGTTGTTGAAAAAACTAGATCCTGGAAACTTTTCCAAGTACAAAGAGTTTATTCGCGCTTTGCTCATTGAAGCCTTGGCTAATACAGAGTTTACCTTTGACGAATTGAATTACAATCTCTATGCTTTGAACAAAGAGATTTTTAATCAACTAAACAAAGAAACGACGGCCTTTTTTAAATTCTTGAAGAGACAACCAGATGTGGATTATAAAATGAACGAGTGACTTGCTTGAGTTCCATTCAATACTGCCTTTTCTGAAAGGAACATGGACACCCTTTTCAACTCTATCAAACGTTCCAAAGTACAAGGCAAGCTATCATTTTAGATGCCATCTCGCGCCATAATTTCACCTTTGATGAATTGAACACGTTTTTGTCTCATGACAAAGAGATTTTTGAACATGTTTGTGAAAAAGCCATTGCCTA